ACCTTGAATCAAAATTAAGTACTTTTAAGAGCCCTTAATTTTCAAAATGAAAACTAAGCAGTTTTTAAGGACTTTTAAGGACCGTGGGAACCCTGTGTAAGATTTTTTTCTCTTCATTAACTGGTCACTTGTGAGCATTTGTTTATTTAACTTTACTTGAAGTGAAATGTATCATATCTAGAAAATAATATAAAATATTTTTAATTTGTGAAAATTTTGTATGCTTAATAATTTGGATCATGTTTTTTAGTTTTAAAAATTTTTTAGGTAAGATTTTCTTCAGCGGTCTGTTCGTATAACCAGACTTACAAGAAATTTGCTTTCTTGTAATCAAAGTTGTAGGTTGGCTAATACAGCAATATACGGTAATCAAATTTTTTTGAGACTGATAGCATAACTTTGTTTATTAAATTTTGCATTTTGGCTTCTGGTAACCCATAGAGAAATACTTTTAGCATCAGTTAACAAAAATGTTTTTTTAAAAAAATACTGTTTTTTACATTTGCATTTTGCATCAGATGATATCCTGCAGATCTTGTACTATTTATTTTTTGTTTTGTTTTTGAAAAAATATTGAACTTGTAGGGACCTTAAACCTAGATTAAGCCCTTTAACTGAATTTTTCATATTGATCAAATTTCTTAACATTTTCCCTGTTCTATAGCCACTTTATGTATCTACGCATTGAAAACTGTGTACAAACTAACAAAAATAAAACTGTATCCTTTTGAGCACTGTAAATAGAACTAGGTATAAGAAATAAAAATTTTTAATTTTAAAAAAAGCACACAGGATATACTTACGTGACAGTGGTACTAATTTGAACACTACGACGTCCAGGGGTAGGAAATTCTCTTGAATTTACATATCCTACTCGAGATATTAAATCTTCTAGGTTGTTCTTGCTGTTTCCTTCGACTGTTACTTCACTAAGATCTGAATTAGTCAAAAGTTCCTGCAATAAAAATATTACATATAAAAATTTATAATGCAATATAGAAAAATAACTAGGGTTAGACAAAAATATTTCCCATGATTACAGGTGTTTTTAGGAATTCTCAAACCCAGAATGATCCTTGAAGAAAAACTTAGAAATGATTTTAAAAATTGGCAGCAACTTTGGCATGAAGTTGCACAAAAATATTTACTTTCAATCAACATCTTAGTTTGAGAATTAGTAGCCTAGAAACTTTCACATATTTAATGATTAACTGCAAAATTGGGAAATTCTACTACTGGCCAGTAGAAAGAAGCATTTTTAACAGTGGCCTACCTAAAAGATGCACAATTTTTTTCAAAAATTGAAATAATTAAAGAAATTAATAATGTAAGATGTTTTTTTTTCCAACATTTCTCAAACTATGATAAACATTACAAGGTTTATTTCTAAAATGAAAAAAAAAAATACATAAAAATAAAAAAAAACATTAAATTAATTTTCAGAATATTAAAAAATATCGATAATAATTTCATATATATTAAAAGAAATATACTAATAAAATTCATAGCAACAATTTCAATGAAAAAAATAGCAGCCAGATGAAGACTTGCAGAAATTTTTTTAATCATTATTTGTTATATTCAGAGGCTTAATTTTGCTTTGCCATTAATTTTGCATTATGTTTTTATGACAAAACATATTGATAATTTTTAACAGCGTTTTTTTTTAAATGATACTATTTAATTATCAATAAAACTCAGAACTGAAATTCCTGTCATTCAATCTAATAGTTTCTATCAAATATTCAGTAAATTTTACTTTTCTTTTTTGCCTTGTGCCAAAAGCCAAATAAATTCCATAAAGGGGAAAAGAAAACTATTTCCTCTGATGAAGTTATCATTTGATCTAAGTTCTATTTATTTTGATTTCTAGGACTCATAAAAATACTTCAATCAAAAAAAAAAAAAAAAAAAAAAAAAAAAAAAAAAAAAAAAAAAAAAAAAGAGCCAATGATTAAAATTTCTAATGATGGATTGAGAAGGATGAGCAAAATATTAAAGTATACAGTGGTTTTCGAATTGTAATTGATTATTTGCTTAAAGTTGTGGTTAGTTCTATCCCCAGTTCAAACTAATGAGGTACCATTTCCCATCGTAGCTTGAATCCTGTAAAGTTCCAGATTGAAGGATACCAGCTTGTCTTGTAAGTAAAGTAAGTATGTATTATGAAATTGTGGAGATTTAAACGCCACGGCCAGTTGTGGGAACAGTTTACTTTTTATTTGTTACTAACCTATGAACTTCCAGGAATTAATTAAAAAAGAGTCAAATAACTTCAAAATTAATTTTTTTATGACAAGAGCCCTGAAAAATATATCTTAATAATTAGGATAAAAGTTTATTTCTCTTAAAATTATTGCAGGATTCATTCTTAGTAAAATAAGCAAAAGTAGGAAAGAATTAAATTTAAAGCAGCAAAGAGTTTAATCTAAATCTAATTTTTTGCAGCTTAATTGAATTTTTTATAGGAATTATTCACGTAATCAGTTTTTGAGTTTGCATTTAAGAATTGCGTTTCAGTAATCAAAAGATGTAAAGAAGTAAAATTTTGATAAAATTTAAAGTGGCAAGGTGGCAAGTAGATAAATGAAAATTTCATAGGATCACTTCACATCAGGTATAGAGAAATGCAATTAATACTATTTATTCAAGTATTGCATATGTAATTAAATATGTAACTTACTTCATATCGGCAAAATCATTAATTTTTTATAAAAATTTCTTAATTTGTTCTTAGCTAAGTTTAATTCAATTATGAGTGATTTTTTTAAAATCTGAAATATCAGGAAAGGCTATTGCGAGAGATTTCTAATTTTTGAGGGGGACATATATCCACCTTATCTCGTGCCAATGGCATTCACGTTCATGATGCCAATTAGTTTATATAATCAATGATGGATCACAACTAAATTTAGGACATAAGCTATTTTAAAGCAGTGGCATAACTAGTAAATTTATATGCTTTTCTGTAACTTTTTTTCAAAAACTGAAAAACAAAATATTTCATAACAAAATATTGTATGCAAATGTAAATTTAAAAGTAGACATATTTAAACTTCTGCAGTTTATAAAGAAAATTATTTTTTTTAAAGGACAGGCACTGAACTTTTGTTCTTTACCTCGGAAGATGCTGGAAGAGTTGCTCATTCAACATTACCCTGAGGGCACCTGTGAACCTAAGTCACGAACATTACCCACACCACACTGTCACATATACCCGTTTATAGGGTGGACTACATTCACACAACAGAGAACAGACAGAGAGAGAAACATGCATGCGCTGAGCGGGATTCAAATTCGCAACCATTGGCTTTACAGTCAGGAACGCTGACCGCTCAACCACCCAATCAGCAATATAAATAAAACTAGCATTTATTACATATATACATGAAATTAAGATTGATATACTTTGACATTGAAATAAAAATTAACATGCTTCACAAAGTAATAAAGTTTGACATTTTACAATGTAAAAAAGTGACATATTTTACAATGAATTGAAACAAAACATTGGTTCATGTGCAATTAAAAATAAAATTTTGTACAGCTGTTCAGTTTCAAAGCAGCAAAACTAGTAATAATATGAACTAACTAACCATTCCGGGTTCTAGGAGATCAGCAGGGGGTACTTCTAAACCTTCCTTGCATCGATGAAGACAGGCTAATACTTCTGGATTTTCTGTTCGGCCTCGCAATACAGACAGACCAGCAAGGAATCCATGGAAATTGAAGGCCATTTTTTCATCTTTTCCTAGAAAGTAAATATAAATTTTTTTTATGGTGAAGTAACTAACCAAAACATATTTTATTACTTTTAAAATCACTTAATTTTTAAAATTACATGAGTGCAACAATCAAATAACAAACAAAATAAATTACTTTACATAACAAAACAAAATAAATTACTTTTGATGCAAAAACAAGAATCGTAATAATTAAAGACAACAGTTCAATTTTAACTACAAAATAGTCTTTTTTTTTCTTCTTTTTCAGACACTGACGTAACCAGCTTTGCATTTGGGATTTATAAATATTGCTCAACAATTTCTAAATGAAATAGCATTAAATATTCACATATTTGTAGTTATACTTATTGAAGAAATTAGTCAGAAAATAACATCCTAATATATGAAGACTCTTGGGAGCTCAGGCTTTTCAGGATCTTATTTTCTACGAATTGTAAATTATAACATTTGTCTTAAAAGAAACTCGTCTAAATTTTTTTTAATAATAAATGTACTCTATACAAAAAAGATTCTGGGTTTTTCCTAACTATACATTGTTTAAATAAGTACCTCATTAAATATGATTATTTTGCACATAAACTCATCCAGACTTTTTTAGGAAATAAGAACTACTTCTCTTAACAAAAATATTTTTATAAATAAACTATATACCCCGGATGCCCCCGCTAGGGGGCAAGACGGGACTGAGCTTTGAATAATAAATAAACTATTTCAAATAAACAATTTCTACGATACATCATTTGCAAAGTATACTACATAGAACTTAAAAACCTATTATGTTTAGAAACCTAGAAAAACAAACACAGATAAAGTTAAACTAAGCCCAAAATAGTTTAAAACTGAAATAACCAAACAATGTATTCAAAAAAGTATTTTAAATTTTCAGTTTTAAACTATAACATTTTGTTTAGTCATATATTGGTTGAAATAATATGATGTAAATGCAGAGTCTGCATATATAACGAAAGAACAAGTTGAAAAAATACAAGTACAGTATAATCTCGATTATCTGACATTTGATCAGGCAACGGAAGAAGAAGTATATGCAGAGTCTGCATATATAACAAAACAACAAGCTGAAAAAATACTAGTACAGTAAAATCCAGATTATCTGACATTTGATCAGGTGACAAATCCAACGACAAGCTTTTAACACATTTAACCATTATTACAATTGATGTTGTCAAATTACAATTGTGATGATTAAAAAGAAATATGGCAGCAAAAAAAAACTGCAATTAAAAAAATGTACCAGTATTTTTCATGATAGTGAATCATGTCTAATGATAAAAAAATAAAACAAAGTTTCTTTATTTAAAAAGAAAAAAATCCTTTCGAAACAGCCATTACTTATTCAGTTATATATTACTCATAGTTCATGCAATGTTAACTCATAGCTTAATGTTAATTGAGAAAATCTCAGAATTATCTGACGATATCAATTTTCTGACCTACTCCTAATTCTTAAGTTGCAGGATACTAGCGATAATAGAAAATAAATTCGATTTATTGGCTTCATTGCGAATTCTTTACCTTGCCAGCATGCTCCAACAACAAATGTGGTGTTGATATCTTTAGCAGGATGAAGAGGCCAATCATCAACAATGTCTGGGTTGTTGGTTTGTATTTTGAATTGTTGTCCATCCACATAGAGGGTAGACTGTAATAATAAAAGTTGATAAAGATGAAAAATTCTCACATGATTTTCTGGATAACTAGAAATTAACTATTATCAGATAATGCCACAAGATAAGCAGCATGGCACTTTCACGTACTCCGTCCAACAACGCACATTTGGAGAGCAAAACTTTTTAGTTTTATCTGACATTGTTGCTGTAGTTAATTTACGTCACACTAGAGCTGCACGATGGGCTATTGGCGACGGTCTGGGAAACACCCCTGAGGATGATCTGAAGACATGCCATCACAATTTTGATCCTCTACAGAGGGGATGGCACCCCCGCTTCGGTAGCCCAACGACCTGCATGCAAAGTCGAGCACAATATGGTAGAACAGTTTAACGAGGACCAATACCGCACACCCTCAGTCCCTACGCAGACTGATCCAAGTGGTAACCCACCCGCACACTGACCGTAGCCAGTGATGCTTGACTTTGGTGATCTGCTGGGAACTGTGTCTTAATGATCAGTACACTGCGGGACAGTTTTATCCGACATATAAAATGGCATATTTACAATTAATTGAACCATAAGTAATGAAATAATTGTATATTTATACATTATTAAATTGCTCCCTAAATATACTTGGATTCCATCATAAAATGATGAAGAAAACAAAATAACATTTATTTCATACTGACAGGACAAGAGAGAACAAAAATATGAGAAAGAATAAATCATTGGCACAGCGCCATCCATGGATATTAATTTAAATCATAAATTTTAGCCATTATTCAACACATATGCTTGCATGATATTTTTTTTATAAAAAAAAACTTTAAATATACAATCTACAATAGTATCATATTTAATGATTATCAATATTTCACATAATGATAATTATGAAATGCAATACTATTGTGTGTTGATAAATTTTATTTGGATAGTGAAAATATTAACCATTGTAAAAACAATGCAATTAGTTCAGATTTAGTTCAATGCAATTAGTTGGAAAAATATCACAATTTATAATTAAGTATCAATATATTTTTACAATGCATCTCAATATTTAAATTTTTTATCAGCTATCGGGAACAACATTCATTTTGGCAATAATTTAGAAAAGCTGTAGCCAACACACACTCTTATCCTTATAACCCAGGGGTCGCCAAACTTTTTTGATCATCGACCCCTATATAATTTTTCGAAATCTCCATCGACCCCCGCAAAAGTAATTTTCTGTTAATTAAAATAAAACTATATTAGATACTGTGTTTGTACATTTATTTTATGATTTTAAACATTTATTAAAGTAATAGTACATTGTGTAACAATAGTTTTATGAAAAATATATTAATATTGAAATTTAAATGCCTTATTATTAAATAATAAGTAATTATGCATAAGTATATATAATAAGTAAAGTAACTAAAGATTTACTGCTTCTTGATCAATGAGATGGGTGTGCCTGGTGTTTTTTTGCAAGGTTCGCTATATTGGGTTCAAAATTGGTCAATTTTAATTTTCGTCAAAATTGGTCAATTTTGTAATTTTCGTAAAAAAATACAAAGTGTGCTATAGTTTTGTCGNCACGTGACATTTGGACAAGCGCACATATGCATATGACTTATAAACTGCGCTGAGTTCGTGCCACTGCGCGGTGGTACGTAAATACTTGTTTCACCCCAATAAATATACGTTTATTAATTTATATTTTATAAAGAAACTGATATTGAGTCAATTATTAAAAAAAATCACAAATTTCACATACTTAATTAGGTATGTGTGATTTGCGTATTGAGAACTGTTTTTTTTTCCGACCCACAATCGACCCTTCCGATTCGGATCGACCCCCATTCGCCCCCCTGTCTCAGATCGACCCCCGCTTTTGTTAAATAGACCCCTGGGGGTCTATATAGACCACTTTGGCGACCTCTGTTATAACCAATAAGTACCCAAATTTTTGGATAATTCTAAGTTTGTTCAATTCAATTGTCATGATTCAAAGTGGTAAATCCATCAAAAAAAATTTATTACACAAATTAAATACACAAATATTTTAATATTTATAATACAATTATAGTTTTTACCTCCGGAAAGTTCACACTGACAGCATAATGATGCCATTGGTTATCACAGACTTCAGGCATTTTCCATCGCCATTCTGCAGGTCTAAATACACTGGGTCTTTCTTGGTAAAATTCCCTTCGCAACAGCAATATTAGGCGACAATTCCTTACAAATATTGAGTAATGATGGCGATTCATTTCTGAAAGATAATTTCCACATATAATTTCAGAATCCAACAGAAAAAAAATCATGTAAATAATAGCAACTTTATCCAGGGTGCGTAGTCAAATCTTTCAACAAAAAATAAGCACCTTTTAAGTACTTTTTAAGCACTCAAAAAATATTTTTAAGAGGTATATACATTAACGAAAAGCAAAATAATTTTCAAAGACTTCACAAGATCATGATAAAATAACTAGTTTCAGACAAAGAACTCTTTTCTCTATTACATAGCCATTATAAAATGATTGAGAGATTTTTCAGTTTGATATCAGAGAGTGGAAAATGAAGTCTGAAATTGAGAATGTCTTGCAAAATGCAGCAGAGTTGCGCATGAGAGTGCAATAATTTCACCGAACCCAGCTCAGTATACATGCACATACAGACTTGCAAGTATTTCATCAAGCATAGTAAAATTATTGGCTATTTCATAAGCTATGGACCAATGGTACGTCGAAATGGATTGTGGTTGAATGAATTGTGAAAACATTGTATAGGACACAGTGTGAAAAGCACACTTTTACATAATACGCGGCAAAAATCGACAAGGTAAAGAAAGATAAATCTCATTTTCGAAAAGGGAAAATTAAGCACTTTAAAAAAATACCCTATGAAAAAAGCACTTTAAGGGCTTTTAAAAATTGAAAATAAGCACCTTTAAGCACTTTTTAAAAATGCTATGCACCATCTCTCTCTCTATATATATATATTTATATATATATACACAGAGAGAGAGAGAAAGAGATAATTATATATACAGAGCTCATTCTAGGCAGAAAAAAGGGCAGGGTGCAAAAGCTTAAAAAAGGTGCATTATTATTCTAAAAAGGTAATAATTTCACGTTCTATTAAAAACACGAATTCTTTACACGTTCCATTAAAAAACATTGTCAATTAGTAAAAGAATTTTTTTTTTACTTAACTAAAAGTAGCATAGCAATCATTAATTACTTATTTCCATTAATAAATTAACATATATATCGAGTTAGTGAGCTAATTAGCTTAATAATTTATTTAAAATGCATGCATATATTATTAAAATAATAAATGTATGTTTTTAAGTGTCTGTAGTTATGATTAAATAATTAAAATTATTAATAATAATTATGATTTAATGATAGTGGAAGTAACTGCAAACTTTCAAAGACAAGTGCAACAATGGGTTGTGATGGCTATTTTTCCTTTCCCATATAAATCTATGTATTGACAGCAATGACAAACTAAATAAAAAGAGTTAAAAATAACAGTTCATGAAATCCATTGTAGAGTTTGGGGAAAAAGTAAAGAAGGGTTGAGGAAAGAAAGGGCATGGAGTCTATTACATCAGGGCACTAATTTACTCCAGGGGCAACAAGGTGAATTCTTTTGACTAAAAGGGCAGCAGGGTGCTGCGCCCTGTTTACCCTGCCTAGAATGAGCTCTGATGTATATACACCGAAGAGCCATTACATTATGACCACCCTCCATCTATAACAATGGGCTCGCCCAGATTTTCATGGTTTCTTGCCCAAGAACAATGTTTTCATGGGGCACATTAAGACCCATAATTCTCATAGAACAATCCTTGACGTCTGTAAGCTACTTGAACATAATTGCAGACCAGGTTCACCCATTCATGGCAACAGTTTTCCTGCAGGGGATGGTGTTTCCCTACAGGATAATGTAACATGTCAGATGGGTCGAATCGCCAAGGATTGGTTCGAGAAACATTCCAGCGACTTTCAAGTCATGTC